TGACGTCAGACACAGAGTTTAACTACAGCAGCTGTCAGAGTAGCTTCCCCTTTATGTGCCAAACAGGCAAGTGGTGTTGTGTTGTAAGAATAACCTCCCTGTCTTTACTTTAAAAAGTTATCGTTTTCTTAAGTGTAGGGTAGTTTCCCCTTATTTGCTACACAGGAAACTAACAATTATCAGTATCAGTTTGAAAACTCTGGTAATTTTTTTTCAACCGTAATTTGTTTCCCCTTTATAATTCATACACGCAGTTATCGAACCTTTCGTAACTATTAACATATTCATTGTACTGCGAGAGACGTTTACTGCGCCCCGAGTTAGCGGACCTTAGTTGAGTTGCGGAAGTTGCTCATGCCTGACTGATGCTACCCTAAGGCTTCACCGCGCTCCATTAAAGGTTAATGGCGCAATTAGGTCGAGTTAATTGTCAAAAAGAGACTTGTATTTATGCCCATATAATTAACTCGCCTCCTTCCACTAATCATAACCGGTAACTAAATCATTTGTTAACAATTTTTTTTTGTGTAAACTTAATTTAAAAAAGTAAATATGACATTTTGGGACCAGAAATACTGTAGTTAAAAAAAGGAAGTAGAGTTCACTTGTTTATGTAAACTCAGCTTATGAATGGGTAGTGTAGTAACTATTATGCCAAGTAGCTTTTTGCATAGCCTAATGTGAGTCAGGTACTCATCAGAACTGAGTGTGCTCAAGTACATCTTTAGTAGATTTTAGCCCCACCCATTAAACTTTACGTAACTACCTAGAACACACTCTAAATATTTATCTAATTTTCTATACCGCCCATCAGATATAGCTCCACCTAAAAATAAAGCTCCACCTACTAATTATTGCTGTACTTCCCTAGACCGCCCTTCAGATATAGCACCACCTACTTATATTTCTGTACTTTTCTAGACCGCCCACCTGATATATCCCCACCCACTAATTATTTCTGTGCATCCCTAGACCGCCCATCAGATATATCCCCACCCACTAATTATTTCTGTGCATCCCTAGACCGCCCATCAGATATATCCCCACCCACTAATTATTTCTGTGCATCCCTAGACCGCCCATCAGATATATCCCCACCCACTAATTATTTCTGTGCATCCCTAGACCGCCCATCTGATATAGCCCCACCCACGAATCAAGCTCCACCCACTAATTATTTCTGTGCTTCCCTAGACCGCCCATCAGATATATCCCCACCCACTAATTATTTCTGTGCTTCCCTAGACCGCCCATCAGATATATCCCCACCCACTAATTATTTCTGTGCTTCCCTAGACCGCCCATCTGATATAGCCCCACCCACGAATCAAGCTCCACCCACTAATTATTTCTGTGCTTCCCTAGACCGCCCATCAGATATATCCCCACCCACTAATTATTTCTGTGCATCCCTAGACCGCCCATCTGATATAGCCCCACCCACGAATCAAGCTCCACCCACTAATTATTTCTGTGCTTCCCTAGACCGCCCATCAGATATATCCCCACCCACTAATTATTTCTGTGCTTCCCTAGACCGCCCATCTGATATAGCCCCAACCACTAATTATTTCTGTGCATCCCTAGACCGCCCATCTGATATAGCCCCACCCACGAATCAAGCTCCACCCACTAATTATTTCTGTGCTTCCCTAGACCGCCCATCAGATATATCCCCACCCACTAATTATTTCTGTGCATCCCTAGACCGCCCATCTGATATAGCCCCACCCACGAATCAAGCTCCACCCACTAATTATTTCTGTACTTCTCTAGACCGCCCATCAGATATAGCCCCACCTACTGATGCCTGTTACCCCTACATAGACGCCGTCTATGTCAACGGGTCGTGTGTCAAGGTATTCCAGTACCAGACGACCCTACAGGCAGCCAAGGTAACCCGCCTCAGTAACAATACAGTAACAATACAGTAACAATACAGTAACAATACAGTAACAATACAGTAACAATACAGTAACAATACAGTAACAATACAGTACCAATACAGTAACAATACAGTAACAATACAGTAACAATACAGTAACAATACAGTAACAATACAGTAACAATACAGTAACAATACAGTAACAATACAGTAACAATACAGTAACAATACAGTAACAATACAGTAACAATACAGTAACAATACAGTAACAATACAGTAACAATACAGTAACAATACAGTAACAATACAGTAACAATACAGTAACAATACAGTAACAATACAGTAACAATACAGTAACAATACAGTAACAATACAGTAACAATACAGTAACAATACAGTAACAATACAGTAACAATACAGTAACAATACAGTAACAATACAGTAACAATACAGTAACAATACAGTCACAATATTTCAACAGCGACTGTAACTATATAGTAAAAAATACTTCCACTATGTTAAAACGTTACAAAGAGTAACATTTTTTTTTCAAATATAATAAAAAAGTTACAAACGGGTAACCATTCTTATATTGTGACAAACTGGGACTGCTAC